GGGGGGGGGGTGAGCACGTGACCGTGCTAATGGCCCCATAGTGGGCCAAAGTGATCAAAGACAAGGGGGTCGTGTGCGAGCCCCCAAACTCCAACTGCGCGGGGCGTGGGCAAGCCTCCCCCCTCGGGGGTCGGGGGACGGGCAGACTGGAGGTGAGCTGACACTTGGAATCGAATTAGGACGCATTCAATTTTAATCGCATCGTCATCACACGAACACTCCGAAGCGATAAAATGAGTCCTTGGGCGAGACCCCTTGCGTTCTTTTTATGCAGCCAGTTATTTGCACTCACCAGCACGTAGACGGCGAAGGGCATGACGAGCACGGCGACGAGCAGGTCGGCGAGCGCCAGGCTCACGATGAAGTAGTTGGTGGCACCCTGGAGCGCGCGCTCCCGGCACACGGCCAGGATGACCATCACGTTGCCGAACAGCGTGAGGATGGGCACGAGCACGAGGAGCAGCGCCCAGTACTGGCTGTGGCTGAGGAAGCCCGTGGGCGTGTGCCGCACCGCCGTCGTCATGTTGGTGGACACGGAGTCGTTGGACCAGGACGCGCCGTCCACGGCCAGGTTGACGCCGTTCTCGTCCGGGAAGAGCGAGAAGCTGTACGGGTCCGTGTAGTTGGTCGCCCAGCCGTCCGTGGCGTTGACGTAGCCGTTGGCGTACAGCAGGTCACCCAGGGTCGCATTGGCTTGCTGCTGCCAGTCCACGGCGGTCGTCGTGCCGTTGGAGGCCGCGAGAGCTGCGGCGGCGGCCGTGGCCGCGGCCGAGGTGGCCGTCGCGGCGGGCTCGCCGACGGTAGCCATGATGGTGGTCGAGGTGGCCGTGGCCGCGACTCTGGGCACCGCGTCCCGGGGGGCGACGGCGGCGGGGCTGCGGACAGCAAGGAGCCCGTCAGCCGAACAGCAAGGCGACGTCCGCGCCGCGCCCTCGCGGGGCCTCGGACTTACATTTCGGCGGTGACCAGTCTCGGCGGGGCCGTCTTGGCGAAGGCCCGCCACGCTGGCGGCGACGTCGCAGTGCTGCTGCCCCATCCGGTCCACCCCCATCCTCGGGGAAGAAGCGTCGCGACGCCCGGCGCCGGGACTCCCAGTGGCGCCATGACGTCATGCTGGGCCCCCCGAGCCCACCCGCACCATGTCTCCTGCAACAGAACACCACGTCGGTTACAGTACACGACAATTTTTCACTAGACACACAAAGGCAGGACTTTTCACTTGTTTTCACGCTGTGCTGGCGCTGGCCCCTGACAACGCGAGTTCCTAAGGTGCACCCATCCCAACATCCCCTTTTCCATCGCACGGCTCGCCCTCCGTCCTCTTCCTCCACGGGGAGAGGGCACAGAAACAGACAACTCGAGACGCCTCTGACGCGAGAACATTGAAGCACACAAACGGACTCTTTCCCGAAAGAAAACTACTCGTCCAGGTCCCCGATAGCGAGAGACACGACAGCCGGCCCTACACGAAGACGATATGTGTCTGAGTCCTCATATAGCACGGCGCGAGCTTCCAGCAGCTGCTGCGATCCACCCAGACAGATCTATATCAATTTTAGCTCCCGCCCACCCGACTATCCTCCACTCCACCCTCTCCCTCCCTCCCTCCCTCTCTCTCTCTCTCTCTCTCTCTCTCTCTCTCTCTCTCTCTCCCGCGCCCCGGCCAGCGGCCAGCGGCACCAGAACCATCCTATCGCGGCGTAC